CAAACTTTTTTTTAATATACAGTATATTATTTTGTATTAAACTGATTTTTCATAATTTTTTTTTTTTAAAAAAAGTTTGATAATCTATAAATATTTTATATTTTTTTTATAAATAATAATTTAAAATAATTTAAAAAAACTAATTTATTTTTTTTTTTAAAGTAAATAAATATTGTTATTTTATTATAATTATAAAATTGAAAAAAATTTATATATAAAGAAAGTAACAATATCTCTCACATAATTAATTGATCAGTAAGCTTAATGCTAACTTGTCTATAGTAAACTATCTAAGTTATAAAGAAAAAGAATTATTAAAACTAATATATTATTAAATATAATACCAAACAGCTATAAATACATACTTAGATTTATATATAAAAAAACTATAAGAAATAAAAAAGAAATAAAATACTAAGCAAAAAAATAGATATATAAAAACTAACTATAAAATTAAAGATATTTTAAAGAAGTGTATCACTCTGACAATTTCATTTAACTGAAGTATAGTATATGTGTACTTATCATAAATGGCCAGGCTATTATCCAAAGTATACAATAGTATCAATAATATATTTCTTTGATAGTCAATTTGTTATAATAATTGTATTGTTGTTTTATTAATATAATTAGTGATTGGTTTATTTATTGATAGTATAATTGATTTATTTATTAGTAATATAATTTTGTTTTAATAATTGTTACTAAAAAAGGTTTTGTTTATATTGATCAGTATATAATATTTTGATATTATGAATTTGTTTAAATAATTGTTACTAAAAAAGGTTTTGTTTATATTGATCAATATATAGTGTTTTGATATTATGGATTTGTTTAAATAATTGATAACATTTGATTAATTGATTTTGAAATGTTAATCAATTCACAGAAGTAAATTGATTGCAGTTTTTTTGTGAAAATTTTTTTGAAAAAAAGTTGTGTTTTTTGTAATATAGCAAAATATGCTGAATGATAGTAAGAAGTAAACAATTAATATATTGCAGATCTTCCAAGTTAACAATATAAACATTTTTAATATGTGGTTTGATTTTTGGATTTACAAAAAAGATTCTTAAGAAAAGAATATAATTATTTAATAAAAAATGTGTATTTGTAAAAAGTGAAAATAGGAAAAATTCCAAAAAAATTTATAAAGAAATAATTGTCACAAATCTTTTCTCATGCAATTCAAAGAAAAAACAAGATTTCTAAACTTGCTTTTTTTTTGCTAAAGGTCTTATTTCAATATACTAGCATACTTCTTTAATTTTTTTAAAGTTCTTATAATAAATGTAAAAGATATGTAAAGGACTTTGAAATGTTTAAAGGTAAAAAAAATATTTGTTTCTTTAATTTTGAAAGATAATTATTAAAAAAGCAAATTTTTAAGAAAAAAATTGTATATAAGAAAAAGTTTTTTTTTTTTAAAAAAAAAAACTAATTTAAAATTTAAGTATCTATAAATATATTTATTAAATAACTTGTAAAAAAAAAAAAAACAAGAAAAAATTTTTATATCAAAATACTTTTTTCAAATATTTTATATTTTAATAATTAATTTATATCTTAAAGTATCTTGTTAAAATAAAATAAAATTTAACAAAATTTTTTTTTATTATTTAAAAATATAATTAACAATTCAAACAATACAATAATTATTTAAATTCCATTATTAAAAATTTAAATATTGAATTAAAAAAATATAATAGACAACCTTATATAAATTTTAATTAAATTTTTTATATAGATAATTTTTTTAATTTTTTTTACTATATTTTTTTTATATATAAGATTTTTGAAATATATTTACTATAAATAAGCAAATATACAACATATAGTATTAGAATTCAATTATTATTTTTATTATAAATGTATATGTAAAAATTAATTAATAGTTAATAAAAATTAAATTTAGATGCATTTAGCTTGTTGTATGCTTTATATTAAAGAAATATTGTTTTTTTCTAAATATATACCTTGTAATATATGAATGAATAAAGAAATGGCATTTATCTACAGAAAAAAAAAACAAATTTAGATAATATTTTATTAAAAAAAACTTCAAATAAAAAATTATTTTATCTACTTAATAAGTAAGAAATCTCAATAAAGTATAATATATAAAAAATCGAATTTATAGTTCTAATTAATTTTTTTAAAAAAATTATTACAAAAATATTTTTAACTTTATTTACAATTAAAATAAATCAACACAATAAAATTATAAATACTATTATTAGATATAAGTATTACTATTGACTTAATTAATTTCAAAATTCTTAAAGAATATATGAAAAAACTCAAAAAACTTGAAATATTTATTATCTTATTTAGTAATATACTAATAAACTATCTTTACCAAATGCTTATTGATCAAAAACAATATAACAAATAATTGTTTCAGATAAATCAATTAAGAAGAAATCTTATTGTTTTTATTTTTATAATACTTTATAGCGCAGTTTTTATATGGTCTTAGAACCTATTAATCATATCCAAAACTATAACCATTTAAATATTGCAAATGATTTCTTTCAAATTAACAAAATATAAGCAAATTCTTTCAAAAAAAAATTAATTACCCTTAACAGTAAATTCACTAACAAAAAAATTAGACAAAACATCAATTATTTAATAATCTCTTTTAAAAAACCCCAATTTTCATATTATAAATTGAAACTCAAAAAATTTATACTAATATCTCATCATCACAATATTAAACACAATTACAATTATTACTGGTTCAATGGCTTTTTATATTTATACTAATATCTCATCATCACAATATTAAACACAATTACAATTATTACTGGTTCAATGGCCTTTTATATTTATAATAAAGCTCTTATTACAATAGAATTCAAATTACAAGCCACCTTCTTAATCAAAATCATGCTCAACCCAATTTAAAGAAAAAATAGGTTTAACAATAAAACACATTCAATACTGAAAATATTCTTTCTTAAAGCTGGTTCTATAATTCCAACACATACTTCTAATATCAACCCTCAGTCTGATGCAGTTTCCCAAGCGCTAACAGATCCCCAAACACATAATTGCTTTCCTCTTCCGTTATTAAAACCTCATTTTCCTCATAGGTCTCATCATTACGCTTTTTGGAATTAGTCACAAAAAGAAAGATATGCTCTCCAACATTTTTACATTTATTGTGTTCTTTCTCCACAAGGCCTTTCTCCAACATAGTTGTTGAATAACTCTCGATCCCTTTCTTACGGCTAACTATTAATTGCTTATCTTGGATGAGAATAATTGGTTCTGTGATCAAGAACGAGTCCGCAAATTCTGCATTCTGCATATTGTGGTAGGCAATGCATTCTGGTGTAGGTTGTGTCTTAATACGATTAACAAAATCATCCCAGTTTTTTTCATCGATCGGTTTATTTGTTGAACGGACAGTAAATACAGGTGAAAACTTGATGGAGATATCCTTTTGACCATTCCTCAGTGGAACAAGCTCGGAAAGTTTGCAACTACATGAGTTAGTGATATTGTTGATATCATCTGAAATGGATTTCTGGTAGATCGCCCATAAGCGAAATGTAATTACTGAAATAGTGAATTTCTCATTTTGATTCGGTGAAATGGCATTATCCAAGGAATCGAGAATTCTAATCGATGGAAGCATATGATTGTTTTTATTTAAGTATATTCCGTGAAGAGTGAGCAATGGAAGTTTGATCCTCTTGAAAAAATAATCTTCGTCTTTCTCGAAAAAAATAAGTCCCTCCTTCTCCAAGTCCTGCAAAGATAGGACAAGTTAAATGTATTTAGAATGCATATGATTTTTAAGATTTTAAATATTACTTACCTCAATTATGCGCTTTTTTTTAATACCAATTGTGTCTGATGGTCTAACATACCATTCGAACAAACTATATGCTACCAAGTGGGGAATCAAATCCAGATTATCTTCTGATAGAAAGTGATCAAAGTAGCCTTGATACTTCTCATTGATGTGTTTCTTTGTTCTTACGAGAAGTTCGTCGCAGTATTTTGATTCATATTGACATTTTTCTAAGTAGTAACGTAATCCACTTTGATAAAATTTGTCGATAATATATGTGCCTTCGTTATTAGAAACATTAGATCCAATAATACTCATTTGGAATATCATAGCTTCGAGAAAACTGCCAACAACCCCAAGAAGCTTAATTGCATATTTCGTATGCTCAGAGAGTTTGTTAATCCTACCAATGAAATATTAATTTCAGTAAAATTTTTGCCAAGTTACAAAAAAATGTAGTTCACGACGGATACTCACCTTTTAGCTTCATCAACCACCTGACAAAGATATCAAATTAGATTAACTAAGCATCGACTAACAGTAAGCATCAATAATGAAATTAAAACTCACCCCCCGGTTGGCTAACTCAAGCAAAACCTCTTCAGTGTGCTTGAACTTTAGCAGTGGTAAATATATATCATCAGTTCTCAAATTAGATGAATTGAATATTTTACACTGATCATCCGCATGAGTTCCTGTTAAGACGACAAAGAGAAAATATCTATCTACTAGATCCGTGATGGCCCTTGCAAGAGACCAAAGAGCCTCCCGAAGCCAGTTACCATGTTCTGATTCAAACAGTGCATTTATTTCATCGATGTTGATAATAAAGAGAGGATATTTAATCTTCCCATCCAAACATGGGATGTAATGTAGAATTACTTCAAGAACATCCTCAAGCATAACATTACTTCCCAACATTTCGATAAACACATTAAGAGAGAAACTTCCATTGCAAAAGCAATTACAAAGTGATCAAGTAAATATTGTTGTATCACAACAAGCATTAGCAAAAGGATGTATGTGAGAGACTTACTTCAAACGATATTTCAAGGCTTCATATAGCAGAACTTTTCCAAAAAGCGACTCATTACCATTTGCTGAATACATTTCTCCTGAAATAGCATCACATGCAATTCGAAAAGTACGACCTGCTTCTTGACATTCTTCCACTGCATTCATAACTTCGGGACCGATAATACCAGAATAAATGCCTGATTTTTCATATGCTCGTTGAGCAAATGTAGTTTTTCCTATTCCAGGCATCCCTACAGCTATAGGGAACCTTGTTTCCTTTCTGGGTTCTGAATATTCTCTGCGATTTTTAATGAGGTAATGCAATTCTCTCATGTTGATCATCAACTGTTTGACCTCTTTTTCACGGTCCACAAACTTAAGATAAGTCGAAATGTTTGTAAGGCCGTTCGGAATATTGACAGTGTTTGATTTACGAGGTGGGTCTGGTGGTTCACCAATAAATGGATCAAGAATATTTATGATATCATCATAGGATAGCCAAGTTAAACGAGCTAATGTGTGCAATGACAGTGAGATAAACTGCATAAGTTTGGTACAGTCAAATGCATTGTTATTGAGCACCATATATTTACAAAGAAAGTTACCTTGGGAAGGACCTGCTTTAACGCGAAAAAAGAGATCAGACCAAACTCGATATTTTGTTACAGCAAATTTGTTGTTCGAGAGGTAAAACATTGGGAGACACTTACCAATGGTGGTGGGCAGTGGTGGTTGCACGATGATGCGAATGTTCTTCAAGTCACTATATGCAAAAATGTCATCAATATCATCAAATGGAGTCAGCAGTTTTCCTCCAAGATTTTGTATGATAATATTTTCATCATCTATGTCACTTCTGCTTTTAAGTGGTTCCAATTTTTTAACGTTTTCTGCATCGCCAGGAATATTCACTTCCCATATATCCAATCCGTCGGCGTTAACACCTTCGTTTTCAAATTTGAAATTATTCTTCTCGTATATTTTTTCCCTTAGTTTTGGAATACTCATTCCTACCCAGCCTTCAACTTCAAAGGAGCTCTCAACTCCAGTACCCACCAGAAAACAAAATATCATGATACCGTTGATACCTGCAAACGCGAAAATCGAGTTAAAACGGAATTTAGAACAGATTTTCAGTAAATACAAATAGACTTTTTAAAGGAATAACTATAGAACCATTTCTTTCTATATAATTCCAGCTATCTGTTTACATAATCAGTGAATGATTTAGAACAGGTGATCTTCACTACTACGTCACGATTGATTTTACAATAAATGCGCAGTACTATTATATAATAAACGCGCAGTACAATTAGAAGCGTTGGGCTCACTTTTCATACGACCTTACTAGCATCTTGGAACGCAACAACTTAAATTTCGGGGCTTTATTATAACTGATAATATATTTTGCCTTATCCAGTATATTATTGATGATTGGGACAATGAACCGAACCATGGAGTGGCATTTCATCATATATACTTCCGATGGAATATGCGAGCATCAGACAAATCCTTTAAAGACATTAATCAAAGAAAACCTCGATATTTTACAGAGCAGTGTGAAAAAGGTTATAGGAATCATTGTTGGGTTGTTGAAGGATCGGATAACAGTCGATAACTCTACTAAAAATAGATAATTATATTTTTATTACCGAAGGCAATCACGAGTGGCTAATACCATAATGTATGCGGCATCGTATATTTATTAATAATAAAGTGGTTATTGTTCCGTTTTCGTATGATTAATTGAATGATCCCATTTCATATAAAAATGCCAAATACACAGATCCAAAGAGGCGAATCTAAAGATTCATCTACAATTGTTTCGTTAAGGGAATTAAATACAGTTGATATTAGTGAACTTAGAAAGAAGTATGCTGAGGTCAAGGCTAAAAAGGATGGGCTGGAGGTCAATAATACCGAGCTTTTAAAACAGATCAAGGAAGAGGTAGAGAAAAATAAAATATATACTACTAACCTTAAGGTCGAAAATAATGAATTTAGAGCCAGAGTTGCGAAATTGGAACAGAGTAGTCGCAATAATGATAGTGTGGATAAATTATAGATAGAAAACAATTGCTAGATTAGATGATACCAGGAAAATCAAACGGATAAGTTTATTTGTTCCAAAAGAACAATCTTTGTCTAATATGAATGTTTCTTGCAGAATGAATTGTAATGATACTCCTAAACAGATAATTTCACAAAGAGTATTCGGTAACTGATATATCTGATAATGTTTCAAATTCTATTGTATTTCAAGAAGTAATGAAGTCAATAGTTTCTTATATAACTATTCATATGGAGATTAAATCATTGCAGGATAAAGAAATGGATGATTTTGCAATATGCTGTACGTATAAGGAACATGTTGGTAATAATCCAGAGAAACTTTGGGATCAAGAGTTACTCTCATCTCTTAAGAATACTACTACTGATATTTCACGTTGAGCAAGATATAATACAAGAGATGTTAATATTTATTAAAAATCAGAATTTCAGTGAACAAATCTTCAAAAATGGTTGGTTAAATCACGTGACTAAATTTACACAAAACAAATGATCCAATGGATACGGTTTCGGATCCGAAAATCAAATACTGTAAGTGAACAATAATATTTTGTTTTCAGTATTAGTGAAAAAAAATAAATGATCGAATCTAAGATTTATTATTATGCAATAAAATATCAAGCGTGATAGTTTACAAAACCGGATCCAATTTATTCAAATAATAGACAAAATTTAATATATTAAAATCTTTATTGCAAACTTTATTTTAAGATTTGCTAATTTACAAATTCAAGCTATTGCTAATCATTTTATTAAAAAGCATGATATAAATTTACTAATAATTAGAATAATTCTTTAAATAGTTTGGTTTGCCTAAAATTAAAGCAATTAAGAAAACTTTAATAAAAAATAAATTTATTTATATTTATTAAATTTATTTTAAAAAGAAATTAAAAACTGTAAATAAATTTAATATGAATAATAATATGCAAATATGAATAAAAATATCAAATATTTATAAAATACCAATAAAATAAATATACTTGATATTTTTTAAATTTATATTTAAAATCATTTAATAATAAAAATTTTTATAATAATAATTTTAATAATAATAATAATAATAATATCATAAAAAACAAGACCTTGGATCAATAGCACAGTGGATAGTGCTCCCAGGTTTCCAAATGCATATCTCTAGTTCAATACTTATAGGAAGCAAATACAAAAATTTATTTATATGCAGGTTTATCAGTTTTTATATATATAAAGTATCCAAACATCTAGATTCTGACCAAATCCAGTTAGGCCACATGAAAATGAGACCTCTGGTTTTTTTAACAATCATGAACTAAAAATAGATCAAAGCAGAAAAGGTTGCATAAGGAAAGGCTTCTGGTCTAACTCTCACAAAAGCCTACAAATCCTTCTGGCACAGCAAACTCCGTAACACAAAAAACACCTTAGCTTAAAATTATTTCAATCTGATGCTTGCTTAAAAGAAGAAGATCTAATGAAAAAAAAAATCCAAAGTCACAAGTAGTGACAACAAGTATAATATCTTCTCTGAGGTCTCAAATAAAAAATATTGAATGGGTTATCTGAATGTTCTAATCAAGCTTGAAAAATACACACTTCCAATAACAACTACTAGAATCTAGATTATATTAGATAGTTTATAAGTTAGTGATAATATTTCTATTTTCTAAAAATTCCATTAAATATATAAATTCACTTCTGCAGTAGTAAACTTATATAATTGGATTAAAGCTATATGTGAAGGCATAAGTTAACTTAAATAAATTTTATAATTATAATTGGATATTTATATTCTAATAAAATCATGTGCTATTGGCAATTTTGCACCTGAAAAAAAAAATCATAAAAAATAATTTTGCAAATAAATATAATTTTAATATAATATTTTTTAACAAAAACAACAATAAAATAAAAATTGTTACTATAATTTAATTAGTAAATAAAGACAAAAAAAATAAAAATTATTTAAATAATATTAAAAGTTATTATTAAAATTTAAATATTAATAAAGAATAAATAAAATTTGAATATTTTTTAAAAAAACCTTTTTCTATTAAAAAAAAAAACTCTTTTATATACTGTATATTCATATTAACAAAAAACTATTAAAAAAGAAAACTTAAAGTTTTTTTTTAAAAAAAATAATAAATTTTAAAAAAACTTTTTTTGAAAAAACTAAACAAATAACTATAAACATACTTTATTAAATATCCTTATAATCAATATTCAAAACTTTTAAACTATAATCTTATATAAAATATAAAAACCAATAAAGTTATTATTACTATATTAACCTATTCAATTTATTTTTAAGTTAAACAACTGTTTAAAATTCTAATTAATATCAGATTATTTTATATAAAAGGTATCAAAATAATTAATATTTTCTTTAAAAATTATTAAAAAATAAAAATTTTATTAATACAAATCTTAATCTTTTAAACTAATACTATTAAATATTTAAATTTTCTTTGATTTTTAATATATTTTTCAAATTATTTATAATAATAAAACAAATACAATAAAAAATTTATTAAGCTTAACTTTAATTACAATTTATATATTTCCTAAAAAAAAACTTAATATTATCATTTATAAAAAAAATCCAGCTTTTATTTTGAAAAAAAAAAAAATACTTTTATTAAGTATATTTATATTAACTAAAAAAATAATTAATAATAATATTATATAGTCTAATATTTAAATTTTAAATACTAAAAAAATTTTTTTTTTATATTATGTAATTTTACTAATATTATATATTTATAACAATTATTTTTTAATAATAAAATACAGTCAACACTAGTTACAGTAACCAAATCGGAGGAAGCCTAATTTTACAATTTTATATTACTATATCCAATTGTTATTGTATCCAATGTTATAACACTATAACATACTA